TTTAGATGTATACTCAATAATCTACAGAGTGCAAATGATGTTATAGTGCACCAGTTAAGAAATTATTGGAATATATGTTGACAGTATCACTAGTACTAGTGCTTGTGAGAGAGGTTTTTCTAAAGTGAATGTTATAAAAACTGAACTCAGAACTAGACTAAATCATAACAATTTTCAGAACCAATTATTTGTTATGTCTGAAGGACCAGATTTAGCTGATTATAATCCTGACCCAGCAATTGTTGAATGGTTGTTATCTTTATCAACTTCAAGGCATATATCAGGACATAAGTTACCTCAACCTAAAACTGATGAACATGCTCCATTACCTGAGATTGTATCAGAAAAGTAACTTACTCATGTACATATGTATTAAAAATGAAATATGCTGTTAGAAAATAAAAAAATAATGTTAAAACATCATTTCAGGACCAGTGAAATTATTACACGGACTAGTGACAATTTTCTTATCACTAGTCCTGGACCAGTGGAAAAATTCCATATTCTTCAACCCCTGGCAATTTCTAATTAATGTCCACATAACCTTCCTGAGTCACAATTTCCATCAGTGGTTTTTCACTACAAACCTTTGTGACAGCATGTGTCCCATCCACCTACTGGTCCCAACATTCCTGAACATTCTAAGATGGAATCCGATCATAAAATTGTGTTCACAGAAATGTTTGTGTCTGCAGAAACACTGTCATTGTCAATTATCATACTTTTACAGTGTATTAGCATTGTTTTGTTTTTCTTTGTTTTATTCACAGCATTGGACTGTATTTATTAAAGTATCTGAAGTATTTATATTAGTGCCTGCTTTACTAGGTTTGAAAGGCAATCTTGAGATGACATTAGCATCTCGGTTATCAACTGCTGTAAGTATAGTGTACTGGTAATAACTGTTTTACTGGGTTTGAAAGGCAATCTTGAGATGATATTTTCATGTAGGTGACTGCCAGTGGACATACCTGTATATTTCAATCTGGTATTAAAATATGCATGAATTATGAACATGTTTTTATCTACAACCCTTGTGTTATTGATAATCAAGTATGAAATATTAATTCCTCAAATAGGAAGACAACTACCAGTAATTTAAGTTGGTGGTAAAAAACTCAATAGTTACCAGATACTGAATACTTAATCCGATTCTTGCAAAATGGTCATTGAGACAGTTTATTAGTCTCTATTCGGATTGACCTCGCCTCACCTCACATTCGTTTATGTATTCTAACCTGTATCCTGGGCATACCTGGACTAATCACTTTCAAATTCTATACATACATCATGCATCTTGAGTATATATGCATTTATTTCATGGTCCAACTCAAAATAACTGATTGGCAGTCAGTTATATATAGATTGCTTTAATATTAATTTGATGACCTTGAATGGACTGCTATTAGATTTCCTAAGTCATTCCTAAGATTTATATTTGATGACCTTGGATGGACCTATATCAGATTTTCCAAGTAATTTTTCTGTTGAATATACCAGTACCACAATGTACTGTCAGTACCAGATGCCAAACTAAAGTGTGTGTATATCATTTGTTTAAACACACATGTCGCTAAGTATGTATTGTTGCCATGGTGATTGAAATCTTAATCTCACCTTCTCTATTATTTATCTGCCATGCACTGTACAAATTATCAATACATATTGCATTGGTATCAAATTTTAATACTGAATATATTAAACTACAATGTAAGTTGTGACAAAAACATCCTCAGGTAATATAATTGTCTTACTTAATTTTCAGGCCAATATAGGTTTGCTGGATACTAGAAAAGAACAATGGTTGATAATTGGGGGTAACATTGTCTTGACACAGGTCAGTGTGCTATATACATGTATGCAGTAACTCATTACAGTTTATGAATGTACTTAGATGTTGTCAGGCATGAAAAGGGATTGAGTTCACACAGTTATTTATAATGAAACAGAATCAGATTCTATATTTGAAAGAGAATACAGTACAGAGCAAGTAAGATTCAACTACTGGAATGTACTGTAATAAAGTGCTTATTTCATTATGATATATACACTGTTTTGAAATTCATGATTTGGAAATTTTAGCTCACTGCTTCTCTCAACCTCCTTCCTTCCTATTATTATCAACACAATGAAACTGTTATGCTGAAATTCCATATAACATGTAGACTTTTTGGGTCCATAACTATGTGCGATAACTTTGCAGATGCCAGCTCTATACAAATGCTTTTGATTGATCGATTCTTACATTTTGCTCATCCTCAATAAAAAGTAATTTCTAAAAGTAACTAGTAACTTCACGGTAAGTGGCTTTCGCGGTAAGTGGGTTTCGTATTCGATGGATCTCGCGGGGAGTAGGGCTTTGTTGCAGTAACTGGTCTTTTCATCGTTGTTGAGAATTAAAGTTTTAAGTTTCTTTAACAACTTGCGCTATTCTGGGAATACCATCCTTAGAAACTATTAATTTCCCCCTATGATTTGTGATGTTGCTGTAGCAGGAGTTCAAAAATAAGACCCATGCTCTGATAATGCCCATAGTTTCAGAAAGGATAGTTGAATATTGTTTATTAAAATTAATAATCCCCATAACCATTTTCCAATATAGATAAATTACAGTACATAACAAATATATAACTCAGTCTCATCAATGAAA